ATTAAAAGTAGGTTGCGGATATAAAGGTGCTTCCCTTTTGAAAGGCATCAACAACCCTTTTGCCTGATTCTTGACCCACTACACATAAGGATCAAGGAATAAGAATCCTCTCTGACCAAAGGAAGTGGTTCCCTTTCTGTGAACTTGACCCTAAGCATATTTTATCCTTTCTAAAAAGATAGGATCCTCACCTTTGCCGAAATAAAGAGTTTCTTCTACTTCACGATCAGTGGGTTTATCATTCATAATGTACCCTAGCTGATGTCGTGCTAAGATAGGATTATAGTTGATACAACCCTTCGTCCCCATGAGCGGAACATTGGAAAATCCTCCACAACTTTCGATGATTTCTCTTACACCTCTTATGTTGTTCCACACAATGTCATAAGAAGTAAGAGCCATGATTCTTCGAGACCAAAGAAAAGCTTCTGCAAAATCGACAAATGAACCTCTGGTGGGCATATGCAGCATAAACCACTTATACAAAAGAGGTATGAAACAAACAACACTTCCCTTATTTCGGTTCCAGGAATGAATAACATAGTAAGTGTTGGCAAGAATCGTCGGCACCGGGTTTCCATTCATGAAAACACAAATTGCTGAAAAATCTACGAAATTCTCCATATTGGGAAAGATGACAATACCATAATTCATGGCGGCCAAAAGTGTGTTGAACGCGACCCAATCTTTGTTTCTTGCAAACTATTTAGCTTTGGTTAGCATAAGTCTTAGATGAAAACTGGATGTACAACTCTGTTATGTCCAATTGCTTTTTACGTCGCTAAGGTTCAAATAAAGAGCCTTAACAATAGCCACATAATCGGAAACCTCAGGCGTACGGACAAAAGGAACACGATTAAAGATCTCAATATCAAGGAGATAAGCATATTCCTCAAGTATTGGTGCTAGCTGATAGTCCTAGAAAGTAAAGCATCACAGTTGTGGATCATAAAATTGCAACAGCGATGCCATAACCCACTTCTCATACCCATCATTCAGCAATGGCAGCAAATTCCCGTAATGATCTCTGAAAATCTTCTCATTAAGACCGATCACAAGAACCCCCACTCCTCTCAGTGGAGTCAGAGCAAAGCCATAAAAATGGTAACAAGATGTCTTCCTAAGAAACTCTTTGCCTATATCTGTGTTATTATCCATCCCTGATGAAAATGACGATCTCAGATTAACTTGGAAATGGTATGCACATGCAGATTAACTTGTTTTTCATACATAATTTTTTATACATTTCTTTTATAAAAGTAATATGCTATGATGAAAGTGAAATAATCATGGACTAATGTTGGTCGCTGTACTGTCTCTGAACATCCAAGAATACCAAAACCATAAATTCTGAATATAACCAGAAAACCATAGTCACCAACAAAACAAACAATCACCATCAGAACAAAAGTCACCATTTGTACCTGTAAAGATTATTCCCATCCACTCACGGGTCAAGACTAAGTTTGGGTAAGGTCAATGGTAGCTCAGAATCCCAGGTTCGATTGAAAATACTATCACCATATACCTACATGATAATGATAGTACCTCACTAAAACCTCATATGAGCGTGGATAAAATGACCGCACTAGAAATATCTACACCCCCTAGCCATCATGTTCCACTCTATTCCTATGTGTTCCTAATAGTTTATAACTCTGGCCTGGGTATTAGGCCTTTTACCTCAATAGTATCACCCACCCAACAAAGAAACACAAAATCCAACAGATCATCAATATATGGAAAGCAACAAAGATGCAATGCAAACATATGCTCAGATAAACATGTACAAATGAATAATTGTAAAGCATACAAAAACACCTAATGAAAAGAAAACAAGATCTAGGACTAACTCCGGGATGGACCAGCATTTGGTCAATCTTTCCCTAGTGAAGTCGCCAGCTGAAAAAACTGGCGAAACAAATCATTAAGATAAGATCAATGAAGTCGCCATACGAATGTTTTTTATCCCACGGGAAGGGAAAGATGAACATCGAGTAAACCTGAGAAGGGTGAAATCAGGATCAAAAGACCGAGAGATACGGGTAAGGGAGTCGATTACGCGAGGAAAAGGTATTAGCACCCCTCACGTCTGTGGTACTCCATGGGATCCACTCTTGTTATTCTAATCAAAGGGTGTGTTATAATATAAAGCTTAAGAGCTAAGGAAAAATGCAAAGAGTGAATGCATTCAAAAGAAAACACGGGGAAAGGAAGGAAAAATTTACAAAGTTTCGCTTACCTGGGCCCCGCGACCAAATGCCTACGTATCCCTTTTAAGGAATCAAAGCGTCATAGTTTGGCTTAAAAGTTTCCATTTGTTTTGTGTTTTTTATGGATAATTCCGCATTCGAATCCTTACAGTTAGGATTGCAATTCGTGCTTGGTGTTGCAGCTTGTAAAACTCATGATTGGCCCCTCGCACACTTAGCATTTCCAAGTTGTTCGAATTTTAAATAACACATCCTTATTGAAAAGGTTTTAAAAGGAAAAAAGGTTCGGAGACAAAAAAAGATTTGCATTGGTTTGTACTTTTTATTGTGAAAGAATTTGCGACTTGAACCGTAATAAAGTCCAAAAGTGAAAATAGACTGAGGCTCAGTCTAAATCGATTCGCTCTACCCCACAAGACTCAACTGCATACGATTCATGTCTTCCTTTATTAAGTGTTCTAGAATTTTCAAAGAAAAAGAGGTTTTAGTTTTAAGGATGCAAAAAGAAAAGAAAACATCTAAGGGAAACTATTTAGCTCTATCTCTAATGTTATCATACAATGATTGATCCTATAGTTGAGGTTTGAAAAGGGAAATCTCTACCTATGTTAGCATGCATGGATTATAATCTTAATGCCTAACTTGCATCATAAACGAAACAAGCGTATCCTAAGGGAGCATGGCAAAGGCTCAAAACCTAAAGAAACACAAGCACAAGGTGCGAATAAACAAAGACAAGCTGAAACAAACAAATAAAGCTTGAGGAGTATCCACTCACTCAAGTAGCACACGCCTAATCAAGGTATCATGGAACCAAAATAGAATAAGGAGAGGGATACCTAACCACAATATCATATCATCGAGGTAGGATAAAGGAAGTGTGGTACCTGACCATGATATGAAATCATAAAGGTAGGATAAAGGAATGCTTACCCAAGACATCGAATCGTCAAGACAAGCGCAATGGGGAATAATGGTTCTTAACCGTGATATCAAATTATCAGGGCAAGAAAGAAAGGGTGTCAACTTTTAACCAATATATCAAATAATCGAGACAAGAGAAGAACGAAAGTGAATCATCATAAGAGACTAATGAGATCACATTAAAGCGTCAACATTTTATAAACGCGAGCTAAAGATAAAGTGTGGGGGATCGATTATAAATACCTTTTCCATATGAGCGACTCGATAACAGGAGCAACACGGTTCATAGAATCGACGTATGACGTGAGCTATGAATGACCTGAGGACTAAAAATGGCAGGGTCGATTGCGGACCCTCAGTCGCCTATGCCTCATTTTGAGGACTTATCAATGGGGAAAGGGAATGTGACTCCTTCATTGAGGTCTTTGGCACAAATGTAAACAAACCAAACCGTAAACAAGCAAGCGCACAAAAGAATTGCCTTTTAAAGGTCTTTTAAATAGAATTACGCGCCTAACGCAAGGAATTCCAGAACATGCATCTCTAGTCCTACTTGTCATGACAAGGAAAGCGGTAAATGATGCAGAAACATAAATAGTATCAGTGTAATACCAAATGAACAAGAGTTCATAGCAAGCAAAAGTAGAAATACTCTGAAAAACTTCGCGCAAGCTAGCATCAACAACATAATAGTCAGAATATGCATCGATCAATAAAGCACAATGGGAATGCACGTCAGACACATCCGCAATAAATAAAACATCTACACACAAATTCACATCCAGGAAAAGACGCAAACAATGCATATTTCTCATGAAATGAGAATCAAAGTAAATCACGTCGGAAGCGAATTCGCAAATCCACAAATAAAGTGGTATAACATGCTTTCTGATAGAATAATCAATACATCAATTAAACGATCGAAAGCTCTCAAAGTATCTTGCACAAGTCAACACACACGTTAGAAATAACAAGGAAGCGAAATAGGAGTTATGAATTCTCATCATAATTAAATTCGAAATTAAATCGTGAAGAAACAAGATGCAAACATGCATTGCAACCTCAAAGCGAAACTCCAGCCAACAACTTATTACTAAAGAAGGTGCGCAAAAAGTCAAAATAAAATTGCTTCGAAACGGTACGAGTTGTTGCAAACTTACCAACAAGCTCAAATAAATCCAAAACTGCAAATCGAATCACTCCACAAGCATTACTTACCACTCCCGGGAAGCAACTTACCACATCACAAAATTATCCGGAAGAATGCATCGAAATTGATAATTCTTGACATTAATAATCAAAACATGCACAAATAAACTCAAATGAACCTCAAACGGTAACTAAAAGAGATTTGCAACTCATTTACATTATCCGGAAAACAACTTGCACTTGAACCGACATCGATAAAAATCGAATCTCAAAATCCTAAACGGATACACTAAAAGCAATTATTGATTCAAGTGTTGTCGCTATGAAATTGTAAACAAGTTACAGACGTTTAATCACATCGGAATTACCGCTTCCAAGCTCAAACAAACAACATTTATGCATAATTGCAATTAATCGGATCAATAGATTTTCAGTGTTGCAAAAATCAATTTATCATTTAAATCGATCCGAAATTGCCTTAACACATGAATTTGATGTTAACTCTTTAACAAAAAAAATTCAACATCTAGAATTCACCACTGTTTGACATCAAAAGTTCAATCAACATATTATATCCGGATTATCAAGATCCACATGAATACTTTAAAAGCTCAACAAATTCCAGATTTAATCATTATCAACACAGTTGAACAGTTATCCTTAAGCTTCAATTAAACTCAATATTCAATAATCTGATTAAATCTTAAATTAATTCTACTCAAGAAAATATAAAATAAGCTCGAGAAATTCCAGAAGATTTACCGAATCAGAAGCTTGAAATACGAACCAGAGGTAGAAAAAGGATTGGAAACGCTTAGAGATTGATGGAGGAAGCAGACTGGAAATTGACCTAAGGAGCAGGTGGCGGACGACTAGAAGCTGGTGGCAGTCTGCGGGGAACAGGTGGAGGTCGGCAGGTGAGCCAATGGCGATCGCCGCTTGGATAGAAGAAGGGAGTATGGCATGTGCCGGTTCTAGGGTGGCGTGCGCAAGGGAGAGAGAGGTACCCCGAGCGTGAGAGCTTGAAGGGAGTTTAGCTTTTGAAATTTTTGTAGAGCTTTTGAGTGTGAATTTTTGACAAATGAATTCCCATCCACAAAAATAGTGAGGCAAAATTGATATATAATATTGACAATTGGGCCTTGGTTTGGACCAGAGAAAATCCAATCAATTTTTTCACAAAGCTGAATTTTTAGTGTCAGCAAACGCAGTCGAACGGAAAATCCACAAACTCAAAGATAATCAATGCGAAATTTCAATGCGAGACCAGCAACAAAATCACAGATTATGAAATTTGTGACACCGCATCGAAAGAACGGACACGAACCAATAAAAATCGAGCAAGTTATGAATTTTTGAATGGCAGAAAATAATGAATTTATTTAACCATATTGAACAATTTCAGCTTATTTTCGTGCGCATTTTCGGATGCGAGTTATAAACCAAAGTCTTTGGAGCATAATCTGAACTCGGGTCTTGAAGAAAAGTTGAAGCTTACAAAATTTGTGAACTCACGCTTCAAGAATCGCCTCGATACAATAAAAATCGAGAGAATTACGAATTTTATAGTATTAAGAAACAGTCCGGTAAAAAACAGTTTTGGCATGCAACTTTTTGTGGTAATTGGCACTTTTGGGAACCTTCTGCAAAGATAAAATCAAGACGGATTTTTTGCACAAAGAACCATCTGAAAACGTTGACCCGGGCGAAAGTTATGAATTTTCGAATATCTGGAAAACAGAGGTTCAACACACTACTTTCACTGTTTTGCACCGTATAACTTCTGAGTACTCGCGCGTTCGGAGATCTTCCTCAATGAATTGACATCCGATCCGAACACGAAAGTTGAAGGAAATAACAAGACGATTCAAATGCTCCGAGAGGTACTCAAAGGTGATTTTCCAATCAGAAGTTACAAATTTTAAGCATTCCAAAACCAGAAAAACAGTAAATCCACTGTATAACACATTTAAGATATTTTGTGCTTTAGAAAATCTTCTTCACAACATTAATCTTTGACATGAACAGATGAAATGAAGAAGACATCAAGACGGTTCAAATGACTGAAGAATCATTCTCAAACCATTTTCTGATCTCAAATTATGAATTTTTGAGCTTGAAACGTACAACGCTGAATTTCTGTCTATACTGTCTTAAATCAAATGAAACACTCAACTTTCTGCATAATTCAGAGCGTGTTAGAATGCATAAGAGCTTGATATGATGATGACTTGCTTGATTGTTGATTGGATAGCTTGGCAATCGTGCGGAATACATTTAAAATTTGAGAACCCCGATTTTTACTTCACAATGCTACTTAATGAAACAGACATTTTTTGCAACTTTCTCTTATAGAGAAATACCACGATTCTATGAATGTAGACCCTATGATATATATATATATATATATATATATATATATATATATATATATATATATATATATATATATATATATATATATATATATATATATATATATATATATATATATATATATATATATATGACAATGAAGTATAAACCAATTAAAATTGAAAATGAAGAGGTTAAATTTTCAGGTGCAACAAATATTCAACCACAATAAAATCACACAATTGAAACAACCCTTTCTTATATTTTTCTCACTTTCAAATTTATGTTCTCTCCATCACATTGACTCAATTAAAAAATCGATCATCTCCTATTAACAAATTAAAATAAACTCAACTTTCACAAAATAAATGTACCTTAATTGTCTTCTTCCTCCCTTCGAATTGAATCTAACAACGACAGCCCATGATTATGCTATATAGTTAGTGTTGCTTAATTGGAGGACCCATAGCTCCATGCATCGATGTCTATGTCTCAAGGGCCAAAGATAACAACTCAATCTCGATGGATAACCTTGAAAATTCACCATGTCACGTTTATCATTTTCAAATCACAATGCTTCATTGATTAGCATAACATCAAATCATTTCATGTACGTGCTTTCATTTTGACAATAATGTTACTATTATTACTACCTAGTGAGTAGTGGCCATTGTCCCATGATCATGCCTAGAGGCTGACACGTCTTTTTTTTTTTTCCCCTTATTCAATCAAAGTGAAAATTACCTGATTTAGGATTGAAGATAATATACATTTTAATGGAAGAAAAGTTGATGTGTGTTTTGCAACTTTGCAAGCACACACAAGTCAAAGTGGGGGTATTTACTTGCCTTTTGATTAATAATAGTAATAATCTTTTGGTTCTTTATTGGCCCATAATAGATATGTAATCTGAGTCAGAAATAAAAGTAAGAATGCAAGTGAGATTCTCATGCATCCATATGCAAGGTGGGGTAAGAAATAAGAACCTAAATATTTGCTCCCTTTAAAGTAAAGATTATGCTATCATCACTGCCATCACCATCAAAATCAAGTGATGTTTCACAGAATGAAAATGACCATCCAATCTTTGTTAATTTCTTTTATGAACTGCTAAAAGAATAGTGGTTAGGTTGTTTTGTGAAACTGTCGCTATTTAGATAACTTTTTTTCTAGAATTTCGAAGTAGAAGGCAATGGAGGATCTACTCTATAGAACCGTCTCAAATAATTTGGACATCATGTTCTAAATTTAAAATCGTACCTTTAATAAAAAGAAGAACAAATGCAATATATTTCTTCACTTGTAGTATACTTATGTTACTAAATTCTCTTAAGTAGAGATGTATTGTTATTCTCTTTCAGTACCAATGGTTGATTAACATAGATATATATTGTTCTGGAACCAGAATAGTGATTGACTCCTGATGATGGACTCTTAAAGGTGGACCTGCAGGTTTAACACTCTAATGCTCTACTCATTCAAAGTCCAAATGAGATCAGAAAAGGGCACCTAAAGTCTAAAGTGTGTCAACTATATATATGAGAGATAAATCTATTTGGGCTTTGCATTGTTGGGATGAATGTTTGGACCTTACTTATATTAAGCTTTTGACTGATTCAAAACAGTTGTCCTTGAAGCTTGTTAGGTGTTTTATCAGTCGGTAAGTCTTTTGAAGTTAGGGTCGGGATCCTGCTACCAAATCCAACCATAAGGGGAAGTAAGAAGACCATGAGTCAGTTGCAGAAGCAGTGGAGAACAAGCACATTAAATTCATTTGACATCATTGAGATGTTTCAGCGATTTTAAAACATGTTAGACAATGTTTGCATATTGGTCGTACCTGACCAGAATGATTTCTAGTGGCCGACAACACTTGGACTTCTGCGGTTGTTGAAGTGAATGAGAGGGGTACCTATGTGATATGGTGGCAAAACTGACTGTTAATACTGGTTTTGCGTTTGTATTCGCAAATGTTGCGGTAAGCAAGAGTCGCCGCCGACTTTTATTTCATCCAACAAAGGAAAAGGAAAAAGAACAAAAAAAAACTTTTTTTCGAGATGTTTTTGAATATGGGAGGTAGATTATAGTAAGGGAAGGTGTTAGCATCCTTTCTATCTGTGATTTTCCACGGGCTCTTAGGTACTTGCTCATTTTGAAATTGCTTGTGTGTGTTTTGAAAAGTTTTTATTTAACTTCGTGATAACCCTTGTATCTGTCCTCAAGAGTTTGACGAAGCTGTTTTAAAAACTGTTTTTGAAAAGTGCTTGTGTGAAAAAGTTTTTGTTTTGAGCAAGTACTTAAGAGTTTTCTACCTACTCGAAAAAAGTATGTTCATTTTCGTTTCCTTTAGACAACGTTATCCTGCTATTGAGGAGTAGGTAGCTTCGTCGTTGGAATTTTAAGGGACGTTCGAAGGGACGAAATGGTCTCTGAAGGCAACAAGTAAGGATACCTTAGAATTTCGAAGGAACTATCGTCATAAGATCAATTTGTTGGCAACTCGAGGGACAAGTAGGGACTATGATATTTATGAGGACTTTGAATCGCGGGTCATTACTAAGGTATCCCTACGTTCGAGGGACACGACCATTATTTCTGAGGCGACCAAGTGGGGCAAACCCTAGGAGTGAGCATGTGCAAGTGTGCCTTCTTTCAATTAATTGTATTTACACAATTAGGGTTATCTACCGTTTTAAAGTTATTTATCTTGCCATTCAATCCTATTATTCATACATCTAGGCAGTTAATAGTTGCGGAATTTAAAGAATGCGAAAAGAAAATCTACACTATTACAAGGCTTTTGGGCAGATACACACATATTTGACTGAAAATAAAGATGCAGAAATTAACATCCTAATTAAACTATTACAAACTTGAAACAGTTACAATAATTCGAAAAATAAATAAATAAAACGTGCGCGAAGAATTAAGACGGGAATAGAGAAAGGATATTTTTTGGATTTTTTTGTAAAATATGATTAATCTTGCGAATTAACCTAATTTCTATTTACTTTTAATTATAAAACAAGTTTTCAAGTTAACCTAATTTTCTATTGAATTTTAATTACAAAAAAAGAATTTGAATTAATCTAATTAAACTAATTAATTAATTACAATTAAATTTTTTATGAAAAAAACTAAATCTAATTTTTTAGTGATTTCCTGATTTTATGATTTAATTGAAAAAATGATTTTTAATATTTTATTTTTGTGAGAAAAATAATTGATCAAATAAATAAACAAAAAGAAAATAAAAAAGAGAAAGAGTTTGGGCCTGGAGTGGTGTCAGTAGAACAGGGGGTCTGAATTGGAATTTTCAAGCTCAGATTTGTGCAAGCCCACCATGCGTTTGGATTCAGTGTTGGCCATGTTTGAGGGTGCACCATAGACTTCTCTCCACTAGGCGCTAGATCTGGATCTGAGGATGATCCACTGGCTGGATTTGGAGGGTGTATGATAGCTTCCCTGGATAGTGCATGCTGGATCCTGTAAAAATAATGGAAAAAATGCAAAAGCTCACGCCTGGAATCGAACCCAGGACATGAGCTTCATACTTCCTTCCCATGACCAACCGCGCTAGCTTGCTTATCTGTTAGTATAATGAACAAACAATAATATAATAGAAAAGCACGCCTTATACCCAAAAGCGCGCGTAATTTCAAACCGGCCAGTGGTTATCAGACGCGTCATCATCTTCTCTCCTGGACTGTTGTTTTAGACATCCACCTTTTACCTACGGACACCAACTGTAACTACAGCCCTGCAAGTCTAAAAAATTAATGCCAAGCATGATAAATTAATTCCAAGCATACAGATCAACTCGTTTTGATCTCACGAGTCTGATGGCATCCCTCTTTTGCCCTGATTTTATCTGCATCACAAAGCCCTAAAACGCGACCTAAAACCCTAACAATGGCAACTATCAGTACATGCGCTAAAACTCTTAATTACTCATACCAATACATTCTAAATGGTGATGTAAACAAGAAAGCATGCTTAGAAATTATTTAGGATGCATAAGCTTACAGAGCCAAATTCAAAAAATATGACAAACCGTGAGGGGTGTGGAGGCTGGTTCTGGGCGTCTTAGTGCATGCAAATGATTGGAACAACTTCTGGATGTATCCAGGAATGTATTGCAAGCCTTGAATCTCCTTGAGAATGGCTGTAATATGGAATTCAGTTTGAGATTTTTTTGACAAAAATGTAATTTGTTCTTGGTCGTTTCACACGATTTCTCTTTGTCCTTGTGCTTGAGATTTGTTCTGTATATGTATCTCTTTGAATTATGTTAACAAAAGGCCTCAAATCCTTGCCAATTATCAAGATTTTATTTCCTTCCATATTTGCATTATTTCTTTCCAAATCAAGCTAAATCATTCCATTCTCACTCCAATCAACCTTGGCACGATTTGATTTTGTTTTAGCAGCATAAATGGATTGCATTTTCATTCAAAATCAGATCAAAAACAAATCTTCCATATTTTATATCATTTATTTTATTTTATTTGATTTTTAAATGATTAAAATCAAAATAAATTAAATAAATAAACTCAGTAAAATATGGAAGAGTGTTTGGGTCATGGACATTGCTAGAAGTAAGATGCAAGCATAAAAAGTTAGGCCCATTTGCCAAAAAAATACAATTTTGGGCATTGTTGACTTTTGACAATTCTCCAAAAATGGCCAACTTTGACAATGCATATCTCATTCAATTTTGACCCTAAGAGGGTGTTCTTTGACTTTTTAGAAAGCTTAGGATATCCCCTAAACAACCTTTTTAGCTTCATTTCAATTGGATCTTCCATGCTCACGTGAGAAGCTTTCATCCAAAAGGTGTTTTTGTTGACTTTTTGAAATGACTTGTAATGTCTGAATTCATATCTTTCCATGAGTGCATTTTTTGAACTTGAGGGCTGAAGATGAGTTGTAGCATCCTATTAAAAATGAGCCTTGGGTGGGAAATTTCTGATAAAGTATGAGAAACTTATGCCTGGTCAAAGTTTGGTTGACTTTTCCTATAGAAATCCTAATTTAGCAACTTTTGAGTTTTGATGAATTAGGAGCATTCCTTGAGGAATCATGATCAACCCTTGATCAAATGATGGATATCACTTCAAAATGTTGATGTTGACCAAAAGTCTTGAATTTTGACTGTATGTGAGCCATAGTTGACTTTTGACCTAATACAATTGATTTTCAAGCACCTGAGCCGTTGACAGGGCAAACTTCTTGTGCAAGGCATGAAACTTGGCATGGATGGTCTTGAGAACATATTAGGACTATGGGGAGAATATGAGGCTTTTGGAGCTCAAACATCTTGATGAGTAGTGAAACCCTAGTTTGAGGCTCATTGTCTTAGGAGGAGGATTTGCTGGTCAACTCTTGGATATCCTTGAGCAAGTTGAGGATCTCAATGAAAATATGTTGAGTAAAATGGGGGGGGGGGGGGGGTTTGGGGTACAACAGCTTCCCCTGTTCACTCTTCTTAAACCTGAGGATGTAGATTGGCTGGTCTGCCTTTCGTGATCTGAAGGTGGAATATGATTGAACACTAGAGTGCCCAGAAATTTGCACTCGCATGAAGTAATACTGATCGGTGATATCTGTAATGGGGTTACAGATGCCATTTAGAAGTCAACAGAGAGTTATCGGAGATGGGCTTAAAGATGTCATCCAAAAAAACTATCGGTTGTGTAAGAGATTCCTTTGCGAGAATTCCTATACCTGCCGTTGAGGAGGACTTCGCTAGAGAATGTTGATTTACGTCTA